TGTGATTAAGCAGATCTTTCTTGCCAGGGGCAGTGATGGCAGGACCAAAATAAGGCCAGGACACCCCCTTTCCCACTGAGGTACCAGAGGAGAAAGAGGCCTGATTTGATTTGATAGTTATTAATGACTTTGGAAGATAGCCCAAGATCACAGATTACGGGTAATCAATAGCATCCAGTTTCTTCCATTGCCACACTACAAAAGGCGGCTAATGCCTTCAAAAGGCTGCTTTGACGAAAAGCATATTTTTCCCCACACTGATGCATCAGTGACTCCAGTTGCACATCTCAAGGTTAACCTTTTTGGCCCTCTCAGAACAGGGCCAAAATCGAAACAGTGGGGCACCTTTTTCATAAATCTGTCTGCCCCCATTTTAACCATCCCCCCTCTCCTCCTTCCCCCTTCTAATCCCCCAGCGCCTGTGTGGGAAATACAGCAAGAACTGGTTCTCCAAATCCTGCCTCCTTCTAACCAGAGTTGGTTGTGTTACCTTTCCACAGGTAGGAGAAGCGCCCCCCCGCTGAACCTCACTGGCCTCCCTGGGACAGAAAAACTGAATGAGAAAGAAAAAGAGGTAACAGAGACAGAAACTCATTGGAAACAGTAACCCCATCCTGTTAAATTACTGTTGGCCTTGTTTGGACAACGCGGATTGCACCCAGTCGAAGTGTTTGTAGTCCCAAACGCCTGTTTTGTCTGACAGATATGCAAATCTAGTCTAGTGCAAGGAATACGCTACTGTATTTCCTGCTCATGTAATCTTTTCCATCACTGTTTCATAGGAAACCACCATTGTTTTCTGGGATTGGCCTGCAAATGCAGGTCAGTTGAAATGATGCCATCGCCAGACAGGGCTTGTCCAAGGAAGAACTGTGCCAGTAGCTCTGATCACAAGATGCCCGTGTGTATAAACTATCAGAGTGGCAACTGGGAACGCCAGCTTCCAGGAGCACATAGGGGTCTAAATATTTTCCCTGCCACCCTTACCAGTTCAATCATTTTCATGTTCAGACACACGCACCAGAAGTAGACGAAATGAATTCCTTGTGCAAAAGGGGGGGGGGGAATTCAGGAAATATACAGGAGAAATAGCCTTTAAAAATCTTAAAAACTTCCTTCAATTCACTGAATTCCTGAATAGAAGTGCTTAGGACTATGAGGTGGGCATATTTTGGATTATCTTTCTTCCTTCCTCTCAGGAAAGTAAGAGATTTGTTGCCTCCCCCCCACCCCCAAATCTCCCAAACCTTCAAGACAAACTCTGGCTAGCTATTCAACTGATACTTTTCATGCCTTTCAGTGTCACGGGTGAACCTTCTTCACCCACAGCCTTGACAGAAGCTTCATTTTCCTTGGTGGCTGCAATTCTGCTGGGTTATATCAGAGCATTTCCTTATTAAAGGGGGAAGGTTTATTAAATGTGGGCAGCTGGTCATTATAGCATTGGGAACTTAAGAAATGGGCTAGAGTTTTTAGGATCTGCTGGTGCTGTTCCAGCATTACTGAGTCAAACAGCAGATTTTGACCTAAGCTCTTATTTCAGCCTCCAGCAGAGGCAAGGGATTTATTGTGTACTGTAATTAATGTCTAGCATGTAAGCCCGCTGTCTGCATACCTCATTCCACAGACAGTTTCTGCTTTCCATAGTTGGCAGAGCCACATCCTGAGTTTATGAAAAGGTACAGAAAAGGACTGACTAATCTTGCTGGGGAAGGGGGGGCAGTTAAGAGACGGCCTGATTAGCACCTGTCGGTCATCCTGTGTTAAGCACAGCTAGATCTCTGAGTTAGAACACCCAGCTCTATTACGAAGCAAACTTTCCTCCCCTCCAGCACACCCAATTTTAGAAGAGTGGAATTTCTGTCTGTTATCAAGACCAGATGTTTTGGACACAGGGTATCCTCTTCCAACAGATGGTGGGGAGGACATGTTGATTCCTTAAAGTTCTCTACTGCATCTATACTTAGGTGAACTGCTCTGAAAATTGTATTGATTTATTTAGTAAATTTATAGGCCGCTTATCTCATATATGTGACTCACCAGTTCTCAAGTTCTACTCCTTGCGCAGCGAAGGGGACAGTGCAGCAAAACTTCCCTGCCCTTTGCAGCTGGCGTGAGACCGCATATCCTTTTGCACTGCACCCTCTTAAAAGGTTGTGGCACAGTTTTGAAAGGTGTCCATTATCTAGAACGAACATTGATGGGTCATTAGGCAGATGCAGTCTTGGTGAAGATGGGAGGGAGGGAGGGAGGAAGTGAAGAGGAGTGGGTGATGGGGATGCGAGACACATGACTAACCTGTTGTGGTTTCTCTTAGCTCTGCCAAATAGTACGGTTGGTTCCTGGAGCGTATTTAGAGTACAAAGCTGCCTTAGTCAACGAGTGCCACAAACAAGGGGGCCTGAGGCTAGCTCAGGCCCGAGCCCTAATCAAGATTGACGTGAACAAGACCAGGAAGATCTACGACTTCCTCATCCGAGAAGGGTACATCACCAAAGCCTAACGGAAAAGCAATCACTATGGAAACTTTTCTACCAGCGCTTTTGATGCAAAGACTGGGATTTCTCCTATCATGGCTGCCGTGCAAGATGGAGAGGCCTCTTTGCAAATTTCCTTTACGTTTCCCTTCATTGGTTCGTTTTAACTCTGGTGTATAACGATTGTGTGTCCTGTGCTGCTATGAACTTTTTGGAAAGAACTGTAGGACATGTAATCTATTAATAAAATATGAGTGGGTAGTTGTTTCTCACACTTCTTGTAGCTATAAAAGAGAGGCATGGAGGATTTTTGCTTCAGTGCTACCAGTGGCATAACTACAGGTCTGAAACACACTTCACGCTCACTTCTTGGAACACGTTTTGTGCTCAGCTTTTGTGTGGAAGAACCAGCAGAAAAATTCCGCTTCAGCTCATTTTTTCAAGAGGCTCGGCTCATGCTAGAGGAGAGAAAACCTCCACCACATGCTCATATTACCCCATTCTAAAATTACCCCATTCAGAAGCGGGGAGGAGGGAGCAAATACAGTTCAGGATGATGTGTGGAGCAGAATAATTATCAATCACCTCTTTTTTGTGTATCTAAATTCTGTATCAAGAATTTGAAGTATGTGCACCTAGGGTGTTTTTGGGGTGGCTGAACTGGTAGGGCCATGAGATTTAGGATGTTGAAAGCAAGAGTTGCAGCAAAGAGATTGACTTATGAAGGAACCAAGTGTTACTTGACTACTGCAGTAGGTGCTCCTGGGGTCACAATCCTGGCAGCCTGCTGTGAGTACTGAGCACAGAGGACTAGCCTTTGTAAGCATCAGCACTGGACTTCTGTTACGTGCTTCCCCAAGACATCTTGGATCTCGGGCTGTAGTATGAGCTAGCCAAGCTATGTGTGCCTTTTTAGCCATGAAAACTAGAAACTTGTCAAATTATAAATGATGCTGAAGTACAGCTCATGGAGGCCCTGAATTGTCTTGGGCCCAGGTTATTTGAAGGAGTGCCTTTTCCCAGTTTCATCTGCCTGACCCACCAGATCGGGGAGGCAGGGTATGTTACGGGTCCCCTCCATTAAGGAAGTCCATCTAGTGGGACCAAGAAGAAGGGCCTTCTCTGTGGTGGCTCCCTCCCTGTGGAACATCATCCCCACAGAGATAAGACTGGCCCCCACCTTGATGCTCCTCTGCGAGGCCAGGAAGACATGGTGGTGTCAACAGGCCTGGGGATCCCAGGTTGACCTGG